TCAAGGTATATTCAAGGAAATATACATGAATAAAAGAGTATCCATCGTTTTGAATAACCCTGTATGTACACCTTTCAAATATATAAGTAAAGGTCCCTTTTCCACGCCTTTATATGTATTGGGCATATAGGGCTAGACCTATATTTTTATAGATCAATCGGCACAAGATGCATGATGTGGTCAGCATTATGCCGGCCACCTTTACTTCCCGAGACTGCACCCGGTACCCACACAAGGATGGGTCAAGGTCATTTTTGAAAAATGTCTGGCTCTGCCATGGAGCGAAGCCATGACCTTCCGATCCTTTCAAATATATGAATGACGGGAATATACTGATGTTTAATTTTAAGTAAAGGCAATAATTAAGGAATGTGTCTGGAAAGTCACATAAATTATATTATGTAATACTTCTAACGGCTTTATTTAAATTAAAAAAAAAAAATGGGTGAACAAACAAAACAAAAAGCATGAATTTGCTAAGTGAAGCACTGAGCTTCAGCCAACACCGCCTGAACTCATTTCAGACTTTGCTGACCTGCGAACTTCTGGTAAAAATACATCACCCTAGAAGCGGGTTGGAACCAAAGACTTTTGGACCAGCAAGCTACTGCGGCTATCGCCCTAGTGCGTCTCTCTAAGCTATAGAATTATCTGATTGTTTGGTTTAAAATTTGCGACATGTTTTGCAATAGGAACAGTCTCTTGAAATCAAATAAAGGTCTATTTTTGTCAGGAAATACATAAAACCGCAAAGGCCAGCCAGTATTGCGGAAAAAATTCAGGAAGCAAGGCATGAATCACTCGACTCCGCATTGCACCACATGGAAATTCAAGGATACTCATTTCATCCACGACGAGCGAATATTGTTAGGTTGTTTACCATTGTTTTTGCATCACCTTTTTAACATTCCGGAACTGTTATAGTGTTTGACGTGGTGTACACGTATCGCTTGCTGTGACAGCGGAGAATCCTATAGACTCGCTGATCCGGATGCCTAGTCACTTGGGGGAGCGTCTTGATCCAGACGTTCCACGTGTGTGTTTCCCCGGTGTTTTTGGAGTGCCGGGGGAAAAGGGGAGGCCAGGGGAAAAGGGGAGGGGGGGGGGGTTTTCAGATAGACACACTGCCTTCTTGTTAAACATGTATTGTAAAAGGCGTCTAAGTAGAGATATAAGGAATAGAATAACAAAAGAATTAGGGAAAAATAAGGAAAAGTATACTTTAGCAAGAGTTAAGATATGAATGTTTTGTTTTTTTTAAACCAGACTTCATGAAAACTAGGCTCTTATTCAGGGAGACTCGAGTTCAAATCCTCGCTTCAGCAGTGGACTGCTCCCAAGAGTGAAAAAAACAATGTTCTCTTTAGGTATTTATTCAACTCTCTAATTACTAAGGAACAAACGAACTAGCGAGCTTTATTTTCAAAGGTTCACTATTAAGGCATGCAGGCCCGTTTTTGATTTGGCCCTTCCTAACACCCATCTTTATCATAGATGTTGTATTTTATCAACAAAGCATGTTATGTTCAAATAGTAATATGCACATAATGAATAGCAAGGAAAAAACACGAATGCATAGGTGGTAAAATGCATGCACACACTCGCGAGAGCACACACACACACACACACACACACACATGCCCACCTACTAACCACTCACTTACACATACACATTCACAAAATAAACACATTTAAGGACACATACATTCATAAATACACAATCACACACATACACACATATATACATACATGCATGCGTAGACACACACAAGCACACCAAGACACCCACAGGCACACGCGCAGATACACACACACACAGATATAAACACACACAGATACACACACATACTCACACAGAGACACAAACACGCAGACACACAGACACATACATCCCCACATACAGACACCAACATACAGACATATACACAGACACACGACAGGTATAGCAAACCCGTTGGTACATATCTCGGAAGACCGGGTCACCCGTCAGGTGATAGTGGGACCCTGGCGGTTACAATGTCCGGACAGGGAAAGGTGACATCATCATACCTTTTGCAGGTTCCCTAGCAAGGTATAGTAAAGTAAAATAAGTAAAGGACTCTTTTCCCCGCCTTTAGGCGTATTGGGATTATAGGGCTAGACCATATTTTATAGACCAATCGGCACTTGGCGGGTGATGTGGTTAACATCACACCGGTGGCCTTTACTTCCTATGACTGCACCTGGTACCCGCTCAAAATTTGGAGCCAAAATCATTTTTAGAAACAGTCCGGCCCCCGTCAGGACCCGAAGTACGAGCTTTCGATCCGCAAGCGGAAGTTGTACTTATTAGTAGGGCTGTACCAAATATTCGCTTCTTATTCGCTTCGGGGCCGAATAGTGGACCTAATAACTATTCGGTATTCGGCCGAATAGTTGCGTTGGGGCCGAATACGAATAGTGGTTACCTTACACCCGTTTCTGGACTGGTGGAAAATGAACATATCAAGATTTCCCACCTTGGTTCATACTGTCAAGCGTTACTTTGTGCACCACCTACGAGCATACCAAGTACAGCTGAAAATACCTTCAGTGGGACAAGAAGCTGCCCTAATGCTGACAACATAGAACGATTGTGTGTGTTTCTGTTTTTGTTTTGAAAGCTGATGCTTTTTTGCTTGCTACATACATCCAGTTTTAACATATGGCTGTGAGTCCTGGACAATCGGTAGGCAGGCCAAACAATTTCTTGAGGCCTCATAGATGTGGTTTTGCAGAACAATGCTTAAAATACCTTGGACAGCCAGAGAAAAGCAACCAAGAGGTTTTAAAAGAGGCGGGAGCCAGAAGACAACTACTCACAGACTTCAGAAGGAGACAGTCATCATTTTTCGGCCATGTTATAAGATGAGGGAAAATAGAACATGTTGTGACCACTGGAAAGATCTGTGGAAGGAGGGTTAGAGGAAGACAACGAGAGAAGATTCTTGACAGTCTTGTTGCATGGCATGGATGTGTGTCAGCACACGAACTAATACATGCTGCAGAAGATCGCAGATTGTGGCAAGGCATAATCGCCCATGCTAGTCGGCAAAGCACCTGATGATAATGATTCACTATTCGTATTCGGCCGAATAGTTGGTCCAGCTATTCGTATTCGGCCGAATAGTGAAAATCACTATTTGGTACAGCCCTACTTATTAGGACTGTAGGTGAAACCTGGCTGTTGTACTTATTAGGGCTGTAGGTGACACATGGCTGTTGTACTCATTAGGACTGTAGGTGAAACCTGGCTGTTGTACTCATTAGGGCTGTAGGTGACACATGGCTGTTGTACTCATTAGGGCTGTAAGTGACACATGGCTGTTGTACTCCTTAGGGCTGTAGGTGACACATGGCTGTTGTACTCATTAGGGCTGTAGGTGACACATGGCTGTTGAACTCATTAGGGCTGTACGTGACACCTGGCTGTTGTACTCATTAGGACTGTAGGTGACACATGGCTGTTGTGCTCATTAGGACTGTAGGTGACACATGACTGTTGTACTCATTAGGACTGTAGGTGACACATGACTGTTGTGCTCATTAGGACTGTAGATGACACATGGCTGTTGTACTCATTAGGGCTGTAGGTGACACCTGGCTGTTGTACTTATAGGACTACAGATGACACCTGGCTGTTGTACTTATAGGACTACAGATGACACCTGGCCGTTGTACTCATAGGACTACAGGTGACACCTGGCTGTTGTACTTATAGGAATACAGGTGCCACCTGGCTGTTGTACTCAAAGGACTACAGGTGAGATCTGGCTGTTGCACTCATTAGGACTTTAGGTGACAAGTGGCTGTTGTACTCATAGTACTACAGATGACACCTGGCTGTTGTGGTGACAGGACTGCATTTGACACCTAGCAGGTGAAGTCCTTACTGGCGCCCTAATTATAACTTTTCTGGAGGTTGAACGGGGTATCTGGAATCTGCCTCGTCAGTCTGCCATTTATTTTGATATTTGTTCACCTTAGGATGGTATGGTAAACCCTAAGGTAGCAGCTGGGAGGGACAAACTTATCGATCGATAAGTTTATACATAAACTTGGTTTGGGGGAAAAAGGGTAAAAATCTTGCAGTAAATATCCGTATAAAGAAGATTGTACAGGCTAACCAAACAACAAATGCCGTAGAAAGTCAGGGTTGTCCGCCGTATGATGCAAATATCGCAGCTGTGCTGTAAACAGGTTCAGCGCAGTTACGTCCCTCGAAGGAAAGATGAAAAAGAGGAAGAGGAAGAATAAGGCTAGGGTCATAAATAGAGATATATTACCATTCATTTTAAGATCATATTTGCTAGATTTAAGAAATTTCCTCAAACATTTGTGTGTGTTTTTTTAAATATTTATTAATAGCTAGGTCATTAAAACGTTTATTTACACTGACTGTATAACAATAAATACATCCGTGTCTTTTGTCGTCGTGTTCTCACCGCGCCTTCTGAGCGACAACGTAAAAGCTTCCGACCTTCAATGTACAGTAGTTGCTTCCGGATGTATGTGGGTTATTTTGCCGTGTCGGGTGCTTGTGAATGTAAGAGGATCTCCCACATGGTTTGAGCATGAAATGAATAAGTGCCGAATTCCCATTCTAAATTTAGCAAAATCGACAGAGGGAAATCTGAATAAATAGAAAGTTGGAAGTTGGAATAACAATAAGCTCTAGTAAGTAGAGAAGCTGCAACTTGTCTCGTCTAGCAGTGTAGAAATCATTTGAAAGACACTATTTTAGAGCAATTTGACCTCAGGTTGAACGCGTGTTATTTCGTAAACTTACAAACAGGAACAATTTGTGTGTGCTCACTGATATAATTAAATTGTAGTGCTAGAACATTTCTGAAAGAAAAACTCGTTTATTTGAAACAATTTTGACACAAGATTTGTAGTTAAAAATACGAAAGTTAAAAAAAAAAAAAAAAACCTATAAGTTTACACACATTATTAATTTATTTATACTAAAAGGTTTAGCGATGGCACGTTTCTCTGTTGGACTTGCAACGATCTGTATTATTTCTGCCTCATTTTGTGGAGCTATTCCTGCAAGGAAAACAATTGTGAAAACCGCACTGGATAAAGATTCCTTCAAAATTCCAAACTGGCTTAGAACTGCAATAGAATCTGTGAAAGAAAAAGTCAGAAATAAAAATGTTCCAGAAGATTCAAACAATGGTCTTAACTACGGCAATAAGCACGATAAGACATTCACAGTTTCTGAAGACACTCTACCAGTTCTTATTCACAGTGAGAACGAGAAATCTGGCATCAAGATTATTCCTTCATCTCTTTCGGATACGGACAAAGTTAACCCTTTTGTGAGGTCAAAACGAAGCACCTGTGTAACGCCTGCAAACCTGCCTCAGATGGTGAGAGATTTGAATACACGTCTAACCGCCTCGCAGCTGGTTGGACTCAACCCAGGAGAATCCACACCACAAGCTGCCCCAACCTCTCAGTACAACACATGTCCGAGGAACGTAACCGGTGACTGGTGGCCGAGACCTGAAGTTAACTTGAGGTCAACCTGTCCATGGAAACTTCAGCAAGTTGATCTTGGCGTCAACGCTTTTCCAAGGTAAGACAAATGATAATCTTGTTCATAAGTATAGTTTTATATTATTCAAGCTGTTAACCTTGTTTTACCAAGGAGCGGTTGTTCGAATGATTTAGCCCCCGTGTGGGTTCTGGGGGTCCCATTGCGGGGAAAACAAGAATAGACCAACTGCCTGCTTTAAAAAGCTTGTCATAAGAGAGGCCTGAGAGGCAAAGAGTCAACAGTCTGCACGCAGATAAGTGAGACCTGGGAAACGCATGTGCACGCAACACTTAGTTTCTGGAACATAACTAGAGTCCAGAAGTGGACAAACAACCATAATTTTCCACTGAAGTTTACAGCCGGTGAATGCGAAGAAGAAGAGAATGGATTAGGATCAGTGGTCCAATGCAGGAACCCCAGCTTTGAATGCTCGGTAATGTTGATGATATTTGTTTCCCCACAGTGTGTGTGAGTGTGTGTGTGTGTGTGTGTGCGTGTGTGTGTGAGGTGGAGTGAGAGCAATAAAAAAATTCTAATCTAAACAAGCCGTGGTGACAAAATCAGCCACACGGCCCTAAATTCTGAGGCTCAAAGATTCTCTGAATCCACCACAAATGTAGTGAACACACTTTCCTTGTTTATCTACGTGTGTTTTCGACACTAAAAGTTTTGGACGGGTTGTTCCAATAACTTAAAAAGAATATGCCTACTACCGGCTTAACTATTGTTTGTTTAACAAAATTTCTTAGGCATTCACTATTATCTATACATTAGTTTTACAAAGGCTTAGAAAAAATGTTTACATAGGCGGTTCACTAGGCTCAGTAGAATATAATACAGCTCGAATGCACAAATGCACCCTCTATTCGAACTTATAGCCACAGAATTGACACGAAAGTGACGCAAATAATCCAGACCACAAATATAACCTGAGACTGTTGGCGGCTCGCGGCTAACATCAGGTTGAAAATGGTCGACATAAGCTAGCCTCTACAGTACAAGGTCTTGCCAGCTTTAATAAGCAAGTAAATTTTACCCCACCAGGACATCACACAAGCGATAAACACCCGGTGACACAAAGTCCCACAATATGAACGGGGATCACCCGTGGAGAGGTTCCAGAAACCCCGTTTAGTCCTCAGGCAAGATTTATGGCTCGGCTATTTTAAGGGTCCATTGCAAAAGCCAGGGTAGTGCTTGAAAACAATAAAAAAAATTGCATCCCAAATGGGGACGTCTCTAATGGTTGCAGCTTAATTAAACTCTGTACCAATAGCGGTGAACAAATTATAAAACTGTCGGTATACGCGTGTAAAGTAAGATATAGATTTAAAAAAAATGAATTGTGAAGTGATTCAAAGCATGACAAACTATAGAGCTAGAGCTATACATCTATACAGTCAAAGGGGTACAATTGTTAATATTTCACTGTTTTTACTTTTTTCTTTTGATTAGTATGAGTATATTATTGCAGTATCTGAGCAATATCTTAATTATTTTGCTTGTATCATCCACAGATACGTCAACACTGCTGTATGTCTGTGCAACAACGCCTGCATTGGCTCTCCATCTATGAGATGTAAGGAGGTGACCTACGACGTGACCTACTTTAATCGCAAAGGATGTGAGAATGGACTGGCTGTGATGGAACCTAGCAAGTATACTGTCAATATTGGATGCCACTGTGTGGGTGCCTTGCAACAGCCAACTATACCAGACCACAACAGCGAAGAATAGTCAGCTCTCTCTCAGAGACCAATATACGGGTGTAAATTAAGAATAGCGCTCTGAATAGAATAGCCAGTATGGTTATAAACCTGTTCAGATGTCTTTCATACTTGCACTTTGATATATTGAAGCTCTAAAGCAACACTGCGTCTAGAACCTGGCAAGTTATGCCACAGTTTTAACTAAATCGTTGACAGTAGAAAATAATGTTGAGTTTTGTATAAAGCCTGTGTTTTGGCAGGGTTCTGTTGCCAATTAATTTCCCAAGACACTCGAATTATTCGAAATTAGCTTTATGTAGAACTCGCATCTATAATACTGTCGACATAAGAATGTAGATTATATTAATCTACTAGTCATGTATACTTGTAGATAGTTCTTTAACATTGTTTTAAAATTTTTATATTTATTGTAATGCAATTATAAATTTGCAATTTAGTCACATATTATTTTTACAAGATATATACACACATGCTGTAATTAGATTTGATCATTTGTACATACGAATTTGATTTCAATTAATCATCTCTATTATCATGAAATATTACGTCTGTTGGAGGATCATAAAGTTTCCCAAACATTCTGTATCTTATGATAATCTCGTGAATTCCAAACATGTTTCTAGGGTTACGAATTCATATTCTGATCAATTGCTCGATTGATTTGCAAACGTTCGCGGCAGAATTAATTTCCTTCCTCGAAACGCTGTAACGTATCCATTGTCACTACTCCTGGTTACCAGTACACATTTACAAGACTTTTGTTCTTGAATAAACGTGCCGATGCTCACTTTATTGTGTTTAAAATGGTGCCGATACTTATCATAAAGTGTCTGTTATAAAAGCCCTCAAAATTGATGCCTATATAAAAGTGCTTGCACTGAATACGGTTGCGTACCACCTGAGAAATGCTATGCACATCACTAAATTATAAATATCTGTACAATTTGTATAAGTGTACACATTTTTTGTACAAAACAGGTGATTGCCTTATGTATACGCTATCAAACATTAGCAACGCTATCAGTCAATAGATCCTTTGCAGAACGTCGACCTCGTCACGGTTCAAACGAAAGTCTTCCTTTCTCTAGCCAGTTTTCCAGTGCTGTGTGCTTTCATTGCCAATGAAACTTCAATCTCTTTTACCCACTGTCGCGAACTTTTTCCTCTGCCTTTTTTTTCCAGACACTACCTTTAATGATAGTTGTCTACAGCAGGTTGGCCAAACATTTAATGTGGCCACAATTTATCACCTTTCTAACAGGATGCTGTTTATGAGCCCAGATCAGCAGCAACTTATAACAGTAATTATAATAGACACGACTGTTAAAATTAGCTAGTGGTTGCAAATGGTGTTTGTTTTAAATTAATATTTCGAGCATTAAACCACACAGTATCACACGTTCAAATTATAGATTTACTTTTCCTTTCGAGCCACCATATATTCTATTTTTTCCTTTCTGTTCAAACCATCATAAAATAAATGTAAAATGGTTTTTGTGAATCAAGGTAGGATTTAATGTAACTAAATAATGTAACAATTGTTGTACATATCGTTAATGTAAGAACTAATTCAAAGATGTTTTATTAGATGATTAAACCAGGAATTTGTTACGTGTAATTATGTTCCATTATTTGTAAAGTTTACAGTTATGTAATTATTAATTGTAATGTATGACTTGTAAGCATTTCCCATCGGATTAATATTGAAATCCATGATTATAAATTCGTTGATAACCTATGTACTAGAAAGCCAAAATTCATTCATGATATATTTTCGTTTGCTGCTATCCAAAACATTTCTTTAAAATTATGTCTATCTAAACTGTTATTAACACACGCGTCATCAACATTGTTATTATTATATCATCATTTTAATGACAACGACCATTATCAACATCATGTGCCATGGCGATAACTGTGGTCTATCGTGGTTCGCTGTCTTACAGTATTATTGATGTCTATGACCATGTAGGCGTCTTTGGCTAAGGCGTTGCGAACGCAGTTCGTAATACCGGGGCGCTGGGTTCGATCCCAGCTACGGATGATTTGTCTTGCGTTGGCTTCGACAATGGTACCGTAAGCTGACCGTGTACAGACAATGGCAAACTACTGAATATAAAATTGACATAGAAAAGCAACTACAGTCCAAAAATGTTTGGTTGGTTCTGCAAAGTCCTGTAAAGGATTCGCAACAACAAACTATGACCATGTCTTGTTTCTTTGTTTCTGTTTTATGTTCCTATTGTGCTCCACCTAATGAAACCCTCTTGGTATTTAACGCTTTGAGTGTCATATAAACATATTTCTGAAACAAAGTCGTTTCTTAACAGTCATAATAGCGACAGCAGGTTTATCATCGTAATCATTAGGCAGGTATTTTACTGAACGTCGTTCTCCAAATGTCTGATTCCTGAGCCAATTCTTCAGCCCTATTTCATAGCCAATACATCTTCAATGTCTTGTACCCCCTCTAAGGAGATTTGACATTACCTCTTTTCCAGAAGATGTACCCTCCATCATTGATTCTTTCCATCCTGCTATGATGTTTCAAATGCTGGAAATTACCTCAGCTTTCGAGACAAGATGCTGTTTATGGGCCAATTTTACCTGATGCTCAGATCAGTAAGAATGTCGAAGTTGTATCAGATTCATACTTAACCTAGTCACTGATCATCTCTTAGGCTGTCAATGTGCTCTCCGAGTGAATACTTCTCTGTAAAAATGGGTCTGATTTTCATTATGGGAGTGCTCAAATTATTTATTGGTCTGTTATTTATCGAAGAGAATCCGGTGTCAGTATTACTATGTGAACCATATTTGGATTTATTTATTGAAAAAATCTTTTGTTTTTTGCTTTATGCTTCTAAAAGTTATAAAAAATGTGAATAAACAACCTAAGAAAACACATAACATTGATTTATTTTGTATTGAATGTTACCTCGAACAAGTTACGTTCAGAAAAAAAAAAAACAACGTAACAATGGTTTAGAGAGCCAAAGTTGCACACAAGCTTAACTTTCTCAAAGGTCGCAAGGTGTTGGGGTCGAATCCTACTCTAGATCAGCATCATCATCATCATTAAGTGCCTTGCCATCTGGCCTAGGCGTTCATGCAGCTCCACATATCTCAGGTGGATCAATTACACCGATGCTATTCTTCAATGCCACTGTTTTAAACCATCAACCATCGTTTTACTTGCTATGCCTCTGCCTTTTCTATTTGAGATCTTTCCGGTCGTCACGATATTTTCCGGTACTTTTTTTTTCTCATCACATGACCAACAAAAAAAACAAAAAAAACTGTGTCCCT